ATGAAGAGAGTTTTTCTGTCGTCGAGTGAAGGCTTGTGTCTTCAGTTACAAAGCAGGAGATGAAGAAGTTTGCCACCTGCGGTTGAAAACTTGTGTTACAAGCAGGAGAAGAGTGTGTACCGCCAATGGGCGAAGATGTGTTCAGCAGTCGCAGAGTGTGTGTGCCCGACATGTTACCGGCAAAGAAGTTTTTGTTATTAAAGTGCAGACATTTGACGGCACGAGAATTTCCTGGAAGAAAAACCTCAGCGGAGGGGGGGGGGGGGGTGACGGCTTGACTTTGAATGAACGTTGTTTTGAAGAGAAGCATTCAATCCTTGTTCCAAGAAATTTTGACTGCATTCGCTTGATGAACATTTTAGTCTAAAAGTGTCTTGGCTAGTTAATGCATGAGATTGCATCGTAGTGAGTGTTGTTCGTGCCCGTTGTTTTGGGTGTATTTTATTGTGTAGTACAGCATGCTTTGAGTATTTTTTATTGGTGACTTATTTTATTGTATTGTTGCCGAGAGTGCATATTTGTATGTGGTTCGATCTGCAGTATTTGAGAATATATTTTTGTTTTATTATCATCTCTCGACTCTGCCTCGTTTTTTGGACCACAACTGGCGTTTGCTGGTGCCAAGAAAGACCAAATCTAAATTGTCTGTGCTTTCGTGGTGGAGTTCAGGGGGCCGATACGTCACTTCTTGGAATTGGCCCGGCGATTGCCTTTCTAATTAACGGGACTCGTGACAGCAGGATAATGCTGCTGGTTGATTCTGCAAGTACACTGTCCTTTTTTATGAAAGGAAACACGTGAGTGCGTGGCTCTGCTGCAGCTGAATACAGCACCATCAACTGGCAGGTAAAGAAAGTGCATCACTTTTGGCATCACCGATTAGCAAACAATACAGCTGGTCATAGCCATTGTACAAGCGCTCTTAGACTGCACTCCCTTTCGGTTTCGCAAGGAGTGATGCCACGGAAAACAAATGCTTTCTTTAGCTGCCGGTTGATGGTGCTGTACCATGCCATGGTAGGACGCACGCCACATGCTTGCGTGTTCCCTTTCATAAAAAGGGACAATGTACTTTATAAAATAAGGGCTTTGCAGATTCTGTTATGAAAAGGTAATTTGGATATTCGAGCAAGGAAAAGAGGCAGTGGGAAAGAAAAAGAAACAGTAAGAAAAAAAATGCAGAAAGAATGCCAAGGTACCACGTGTAAGTGCACTTTATTTGAATGCAAACAGATGCTGTGTCCGAGTTAGAATTTCCTTAGCAGGATATTGAAATTACCACAGAGGTGCGTGCAATCTTGTGCTTTCGAATAGCTCTGCACCTACTCACTTGCACTTTAATTTCATGCAGACATGAAATTTCTGTAATTGTGTTGCATTGAAAAGAACTTCCATTTTTCAGTGGCTCTCATCTCACTTCATGAGCTTAGCCACGTGTTATTTTTTTTATTGCTTCCGTTGTTGTGCATAATAAGCCTCGAGGTGTAATTTAGTTGGTTTTTTTTTCTTACTACGTGTGAAATGACGGACTTTAAAGGGATTTAGAAACGTTTTTGTAAATTTTTGTCGGCGTTAAGGCTAGAGCATCGTCAAGCCATTGCCCCACAAATGTGCGAAGGCTGCTACAAACAATACCTTACTTTCCTTCTCACCTTTGCCTAGCGTCCTCAACACATGAGACGCACTGGCAATCACAGAGCTCTCATGACAGCACACAACAATTTGAGCTTCACCCAGTCATGACCTGCGATATTGCATGCCGACAGGTTGCGCACAATCTGGGAGACCATAGCCTAGTGCGCCAGGCATCACCCATACTGTGAGATTAAAAGAGTTTGGAGTAGTTGATATCTGCTTCGACAGGTGCTGCCACATCACCAGCTGATCCTTCTTTAGTGCACTTCACAATCAATCAGATCAGCAGCCTGTGAGACGTCATGGTACCAGAGGATGTCGTTCTGTGAACGAACGGTTGAAAACGCATTTGGCTGAGCCGCAGTGAGCAGCAGTGATCTGCAGCAATTCACAGCTTTAAAGCATAATAATTTACACAGTTCGTGCAGAGAGCTTAAATCAGTCTGTAAATGACGCTTAAGACTTGGGCCTACGAGCCCAATACATTTGTCCAAAATCGTCAAAACTGTTTCAGGGTCCCTTAAAAGTGGCAACTAGGGCCCTCATGCACCTGAGGTACCTTGGGAGGCTAAAGTAGCTGAAGGGGTCGACTTGGTGTGGACCTTTCCTTAGTATCAACAATTTAATATTAAAGAGTGTCGTTGGTTCAAGCAGGGAAGGAGCTATCACATTCTGTAGCATTACAGGAAGCTACCAACTAGAACCAAAACAGCATCTTATGTATGCCCACATGCAAAGGTCACAAGAAAGAAGTCAAGGCACCACAAATTTCGACTGTGGTGTCTTGGGCCAGTGTTTACATGCTCTGTCTCTTAGAATGAATACTTACCATCTAGCTTAGCTTTCGGTTATTCTTGGCTGTGAATCATTGTTCATGGCTTTAATGTTATGACTCCGGCTAGTGTTCCTCCAGATAATGCACCCTTCATTCTGTTGATATGTATTATATCATCTGACAAAAGATCACGAACTTGTGTCTTGCTTCCTTTTGTCCCGGTTCTGCTACTGTATCAGGATCCTCGCACTGCCAGGACAGTTTCATTGAATTCCTGATCTTTTCCTGTTTTCGTGGTCACTTGGCTGGCATGAGCTTCACATAATTTGGGCCAACTAGAAAAGCCAGAGAATTGTCAGGTGAATAATCAAGCGAAACAAGTCAGAGAAATCAACTTTCTTGCTGATCGTCTGTATCTAGGTGGTGTACAAACTTGCATCCCAGAGACTGTTTTCTCTGGGTAATTAATAGCTGTTGACCTCGGTGGCCACGCAAACATCCTTTTCACCTTGTAGTTATGTATTGGTTGCAAGCAACTCTTCAATGTGATAAGTATATTGGTCTATTAGCCCTGCCGCTTTCCAAGAATGTAGTCGCTTTGTAGATTTTCTATGTAATCTGCTGCCGTGCTGGATTGATGTTCTGTTTCAAACGGTCTACCATTGCCGTCGACTCAGTGAAACATTTGGGCTTGTGTCCACTTATTTACATAGCTGTTTACAGTGTGGGGTCTCGGCGAGGCGAACGCGCGCATCGCCACGCCACGCTCTTGGAGTGAACGGACACAGTTGACGCGGTCGGTACAAAGCACCCAACATACATACATTTATTCACTAATTTAGACGACGATATCGTCCGCCGAATGTTACATCAATTTCAATTAACACGCTACCATACAAACAACATAACGCAGTAACACACTAAACACACAATAACATGATAAGCACACACTATCACACCGAACACACTAACACATACCCAAGGCGGCGTCGCCAACGCCTGACTTTCCACGTGGGACCCCGGCGCGAAGCCCGCGGTGCCGAACACCGGGGGCCCACGCTACAGACAACCGTTCGCGGCAGCCGCCACGCGCAGAAGAGGCTCTCTCAACGCTCGCCCACCACCAAGGCCTGCCTTCCGCCAGGGGCCACCGCCGGCGCTACCACTCTACCAATAGTGGTACTCAAAGCGAACACAACGCCACCTATCGCCCGGCGGTGGTCACCACCGAAACAAAACCTTGGGGCGAGACACGTGCGCCACGCGGCGCAGACAACTTTACAGGGGGGGGGGGGGGGGGGGTTGTCAGCACTCCCACAACAGTCAGTCGTGAGGTTGTTTAATTACATTATGATTGCCTGTGCTTCTCGCTTTCTAGTATAATTGCACATGTATCCATTATGCCACTTGTAATTACGAAAAATTGTTACTGTTGTTACGTTTTGTGTGCCTGCTTTGTTTATTTTTTCGAAAGTGTCTGCTACATATGTATATTTTAAATAACTTTGTTTTGCGATTCATAGACCCTTTCTGTATATTGCTTAAATTTGCTTCTGCGAAAGTGTCCGGTGCGTGGTAATGGGTGGTGGGGCCAGTCAAGCTACATATACGTAGCTTTTTTTTTTTTTTCACCTTCCAATCCACATCTGAAGTTTTTGTAACTGTGTGTGGCAAATTAAACCAAACTTCAAACTTTATTCTTGTCGGGGCTCTACCCACTCTTGCATACTTTTTAATTAGCTGCAGTTCCCAGGTGTTAAATGCCATATGTTGTAGCATGACGTAGACAATTCTAAAGTTTTAGGCAATAAGACTTGAGTCAGTACTAAATGGTGGTACTATGATTGTCTTCATGGTTACATAAAGAACCAAAGGAAGAAAATGCGTAGTGGGTCACTCCGTCCACTTTGTCGTCCTTTCTTGGCCCTCTAGCATTGCCACAAAAAGAAAATTGCGAAAAAGAACATCTATCCTTTGCCTTACATCGATGGTGCGCCCCTCTGTCTTAGTGATTCGCAGTATTTTTCATTAAATCACCTTTCTTTATGCAGTGTACTGGCAGGTTTGTGCTAATGAAGAATAATAAATGACTTTGACTTTTATGAGGACTGGGACAAGACTGCATTCTTGCCAATCGCTGCCAATATTGAGTTTTGCTTTTCGGCTCCCATGATGCTCCAGCGATGTCCAAAGAAGTGAAAGAGGTGTAAAGTGGTCCCTGTGCTTATTTTACCTTGGCAATGACATTGTTATTTCCCAAAATTTTATGGCAGCCATAAAATTAAATTATCTAAAAGCTGCTTCAGTCACCGGCAACACATTTCTCTCAGATGCCTGGTCAACACTCACAGCAAGGAATCTACAAGGTGAAGAGAAGGAAATTCGGGGTCAATGGCTTGTAGTGGCAGGCTTCATGTTCTACGACTTTTTGGGCTGGTTATGCTACTTGTTTCTCTCTAACAGTTTGGCTTCACAATAATACAATGAATGTTTCTCTTTTAAAGGAGCAACTAAACGGAAAGTAGAGGAGCAGAAAGAACTTAGTTGCCTGTGCTCTAAATCTTCTACATGAATGGCCTTTTGTTTGTAGGCCCAGTGAAGCGAAGAAGTTTGCCAGCCAGATGATAGGCCATGTCCTTCGCACCAAACAGACGGGCGAAAAGGGTATTAAGGTGAACAAGGTCTTGGTCACCGAGCGCCTGTACAATCGGCGCGAGTACTACTTCGCGCTGATGATGGAACGGGAATACAATGTAAGTTTTCTGCTCACTGCTTTCAGTACTGCCATTCTCCTTAAAAAAATTTTTGGGGGCATGTCGGTTCATCTTAGAGCAAGGGAGTAACAGTGCGAAAACACGCCCACAAGAGAGAATAAGAAAACATGGACACACAGCGCCTGTTATCTATGACATCTTCTCTCTTGTGGGTGTGTTCTCGCGCTGTTACTTCCTTGCTCTGCAAGACCATTCTCTGTCCACAAAAAAGCCATAAACACAGATTCACTAGATACATAGATGTTAAGGTATGATGCCAAGTGATGGAAATTTTTTTGAAGCAATAATCACTAAAAATTATTAGTCCGCAATATAAAGCACATATTTTCAGCAGGGATCCTACTCCTGCGCCAAAGTGCACCAAACGAGATTCGCTGCGCCAGCCTGATAAAATCTACATAAATTGCGCTAAGCTACGCCAAACCATCTATCTCAGGGGTACACAACCTGTGGCTCGCAGGATAGTTTTATGCGGCTCCTGGACCGATGTCAGATATCTTGAAGTCGCTAGACACTGTGATTGCAGCAGTATTTAAATAACAATAATTAATGTTTTAATTACTGGAGACAGCAGTCGAGTCCAATGAGAGAATTCTTTACCTTTATGCAAACAGGCCATTGCCGTTTTCAAAAATTGGCCGCCAGTGCTTCTGCGCAGCAATGAAATTCAACCTCATTTCGTGGTGGGACTGCAACTAAAGCTCCGATGAGCGCAACTATAGCAGAAGGCTCGAGATATGTCACTGTTCACGACGGTGATTGCAGTGGTGTTAGTTCCGCATTGCTTCACTCACGTATGCCAACCCCATATATATGTACTCTAATTGAAAATGAAACACATTTGCAAATGAAACCCGGTTGCAGCAAAGAATACCATATTTACTTGCATAATGAATGCACTTTTTTTTTCTTGAAAAATGGGAGCAAAGTTGGAAGTGCGTTTATTATGTGGGACAGATTTTAAGAAAACTTTTTCGGCATGAGCGAAAAAGGCTGTAATGCAAAAAAAGAAGTTAGGTCATTTAGCTTTTCGCATATGTGTAGACTGTTTGGAAACAGGTTCTTTGTTGCACTTTACTCATCTTCAGGTGTTGATGGCCCTATCTTCTGCAACCTGTCCCCGTGTCGCCCGCGCATGCCATAAAAGCTTTTTTGGGCTATCTTTTCTCGCAATCGCTTAACCATAACAGTGGTATCATTGGAGCTTGAGAGTTGCCCAGAAGCGTGTGCTACGACGCACTTTGCCAACTTTGTGGCAACCTCGCACGATAACGCTGTTGTCATTGTAGCAAGTAACGAACATGGCAGCAAGGTACCTCCGGAACATCAAAACAAACCGTCGATAACAAGATTAACCACAAAATACGGCTGCCGCCTCGCTTTAACATGAGAAGTTTCTGTGTGCGCGGCGAACAAGCCAGGCGAGTGGAGGTGCTATCATGTTGTGGAAATCGTCACAACATTTTCTGGGTGACAAGCGATTTTTCCTGGTTTTCCAGAAACCTGAGACGCGATATCGACGAATAGCGCTTCGCAACAGCAAATCCTGTCATGGTCGCTCGGAAACAGCGTGCACTTTGTTGATCCTTAAAGTTTTGTATTTGCAGGAAGCTGTCGTCGGTCTGCGCAAGCAGATTCATGATTTTCTCTCGCTCTCGCTGGCTGTGTGCTTATCAGCTGCGATGTCTCTACACTCGCATTCGTGAACCCCGCTGTGGTGCACAAATAAAGAAGACGGGGGGCGTGCCGTGCACAGATAAAAAGAAAAACAATACGGCGCGTAGCAACTGGCGAAGGGGGGGAAGGGTAGTGAGCTGAGGGGGGTTGGCATAATAATTAAAAAAACGGAAGAGATTCATGCGGTAAGCAGGCACCAGGTGTTCGTTAGCGGGACTGCAGGGGAAGAATGTAGAAGGTGCATTTATTATGCGGGGAAAAAAATCTAAATTTTGGCGACTGAAGCTGGTGGTGCGATTATTATGCCACTTGAGTGCGCTCATGACGCGAGTAAATGCAGTGTTACACGTAGAAACAAAACTTACATGCAACAAGCACGACATATAGTTTATTTTGTAAAATAAAAGGGCAATAAGATTATGATTATGACTATATGATTATGAGAGACCAGCGTCTCTCATAATCATATAGTGGTTTTGGGACGTTAAACCCCACATATCAATCAAAGGGCGAGAAACCGCAAAAGGCCTTGGGTACTAGTTCGATAACCATATTTTTGTGTTGCCCCACCGCGGTGCTTTAGTGGCTAAGGTACTCGACCAGTGACCCGCAGGTTGCGGGTTTGAATTCCGGCTGCAGCGGCTGCATTTCCGATGGAGGCGGAAATGCTGTAGGCCTGTGTGCTCAGATTTGGGTGCACATTAAAGAACCTCAGGTGGTCTGAATTTCCGGAGCCATTCATTACAACATCTCTCATAATCATATGGTGGTTTTGGGATGTTACACCCCACATATCAATTACATATCATAATTTCGCATTCCAAGGAGATCACGCTGCCGTTCCAGTTAGAATCCCATACAACGACGATATCCAGGGCATCCAATCAAGTGCGCACGCGTGTGCACTTGATTTCATGTTAGAAGCACCACTGTTGAGCAGCGGTAGAGCCCGCGTTCATTTCTCGCACTGCTTCATGTTAAGTAGAACCTTGTTATGATGAAGCAGCATATGACTAACTAATTGCTATAACAAAGCAATTGTAATTTTCCTTGAAATTGTCATAGACGCCCATGAATTGAAAACCTCATTTTAACGAAGTAAAATTTTTTCACAATGGATATAACAAACCATTCCTTGTCCACAATGAGCATTTACTTATCATTTTGGTATACATTAATTCCATATCTTATATAGCGCGGGACGGATTATGTATCATCACGGCCGCGGTTATTTATAACTCACGCCTTGGGCTCGCCGGGAGCCGCCTGCCAACACACGCGTCGGTTTTATCTTCATGCTTTCACCTTCTTTGGGAACTAATGGACTTGCCCGCTCAGAAACTCGCGCAAGCGTGCGCGTCAGCCAGCCTGTAGAACTCATTGACCCGCCCGTGCATCTGACCTCCTCCTCCTCCCCTTCAGCTCAGCACTAGGACCGTGGAGATTGTGGCTATGTTTCTTGTCGTTCGCTGTGGAACAGCAACATCACCTTTTAGTTTTGCCGCCTGACACGAGATGGACAACAGCAGCGGCAAACGTAAGCGCGAAAATATAACAATCGAGCAGAAGTCGGCAATGTTGAAAGCCGTTGAATCCGGCGTCGAAAAGAAAATGCAGTCGAAGATTTCAGTGATGTTGCCACGGGCGACCAGTCCCAGACGTCGTGGGATGCTCTTTTTGACGCTACCGATGTGCCTAACTTTCTGCACGTACATCAATGCTGATGCTGACATGGTGACAATGAAAAAGTTGTCAGATGCGGTGATGGGGGTGCATAATGACAGTGACGAATGTGTCAACACCCCAGAGCCTAATGTTAGTGAACCCGACGTACCAACGCCCGCGCAAGCAATGGATGCGACAGGCTTGTTGCAATGCTTCTTTGGTGCTTACGATGACCACGAGGACGGACTCGTAATAGCTGCTGAAGGTTAAAAAGCAGTCATCCTCAGGAAGAAGATTCAGTAAAAGTCTATTATGGACTATTTTCTTCGAAGGTATCTTCCCGCTAATGTGCGGAATTTGGTGGAAATACAGGTGCATTGTTCTTTATTATTTTGCTAGTTTTTGCCTTCCGACGGCCATTCTTCCCTGCGTGGTGAGCTGCTGTGATATTTGGTAGTGAGTAAGTTCTCTCGGACACGCAGCCTTGCGTGTCCGAGAATTTAAGCATGCAATGCGTGGGTGGTGCTTACAACCATTAAAGTTTCCGAGTGTTAAAAAAAGCAACGTTGAGACACGCGTTGCCAACGAAATGAATGCCAAAAATAAAAAGGGCAATAACAGAAAAAAAGCAAACACGTGGAAATTCGCCGTATACTTCTCAGACTGCCTCGATTATGCATATTGCACAGAAACTATGTCGAATCATGTCCCGAATTTTAAGTGCTGAAAGACGCCAATCGATCGATTTAACGGGCGCGCACCCGATTTCAAGACATCGCAATCGAATCACGAATCGCCATTCAAGTGCTACATGTGCCACCTTTAACTCACTAACGATATGTATCCCTTCTTGTCAAGTGCACCCACTGCAAAAAGTTTCGTTGATTTTGTACCAAACCAAAACTTGGGTAGTGCGTAAGTACTACCGAAACGTAACCAACGCTGATTAGGCTTTGCCTGCCGTTTCGTATGTTGTTGTGGTAAGTTTGTTCAAGACGGGAAGATCCAGCGTTAAAAAAAAAATCGCATCAAGCACTGAACCAAGAACAGCTTGCATGATACGAAGTTTGCGTTCGCAGACGGGAGATCAACAAAGATGAAAACACGCCAAGCTTACATCTCACTGGCAGCAAAGGCGAAAGCTCACGCAACAAACGCGATATCTGTTGCAAGGTCGATAACGGTGATGTTTTTCCAGACAGGAAACTGTTAAGCGCAGTTGATAAGTACGGCACCGCAGGTGCCACATTTAGCCGCGTGCGGCCAGAACCATGCTAGCGACGCCATAATCAGCGCCGGTGCAAAGGCTTATTTGTTGCCGAAGCAACCACCCTTCTGCTCTGTGAGCCTGCGCAGGGTTTCGTGGTCTTTTTTTTTTTTTTGTTCCCTCCACTCTTTGTTTGTTCACTCCGCATTCCTCCTTTTCTGTAATGACTGTGACAGACATGCATGCACACACGTGCCCCTGTTGGCAGCTACGCCCCTCGAGATAAGATGTATATATGAGCGTGCTATTGTTTAATAAAGCATTCCTTAGACGCACATGACCCGTGCTAGCTACAATGACCTTGTCGCTCGCTCCCCAGCGGCCCATCCAATGCGCCTCCTTTCAGACGCACTCTTTACCGCCTTTGTCGCAACGATTTTCTGGCAAACACATTATTACCGGTCTTTCATCTTGGGGCACCCCATGATAAGCGGTATGTGTATACATAGGGTATTATGGGAGGGTAAATGGGAGTCCAAAAAGACCGCATTGTAACCGGTTTTGCACTATAAGCGGTTGCGTTATAAGTGGTCTACACTGTACATATTGTCACATTCTAAACTTGTGATCACACCGTTGACGTATACCAAAGAAGCAAGCAATACCATGATCACAGGTGCTTCAAGCACCACCTCCATTCTAGTCTTGTTTTCGTCACCATGCCATTGTGAACTCCACTTCATTGAGTCATCAGTCACTGGTGCACAGCGGACAACTGGCCAATCTGTTTTTCACGAGGTCCACCCGAACAAGTCGCAAACTTATTCCATCGCCAGCCACTACCACGCACCTCTCACTCAGACCACCTGTTCCCCTACACTTCGGATACTGACTTGTGATTTCCCTGCTTAAGCCTTCGACCACATCCTGTTTGCTCGCTTTCCCTGATGTGTAGATCTCTATCTACAACTGACATGAAAAACTAAGAAATATATCCTTAACACCTAAGGTATGTCGCCAAGGGGAAAAAGCGAATTTATATTCAGAATATCGCTTTTCATTTTTGGTTATGTTAAATGTTTAATTTATTCTCCGTCATTTTGCTGCATAAATATGAACCTGTAATCAAGCTAATCCTACGATTGACACACAAGTGACCCTTTCAGCTTCGGTTTCGTATTTGATGGGTGGTCGAACATTTTTGCTTGTATATTTGGAAAAAAACTACATAGACGGATGCTTTATGCAGCAAAATGACGAAGAATAAATTGGGTATTTAACATAACCAAAAATGGAAAACGACATTTTGAAAAAAAATTCGCTTTTTCCACTTGGCGTCTTACCTTAGGTGTTAAGGATATAGTTCTTAGTTTTTCATGTCAGTTGTAGATGGAGATCTACGCATCCGGGAGAGCGAGCAAACAGGATGTGGTCGAAGGATTAAGCAGGGAAATCGCAACTCAGTATCCGAAGTGTAGGGAAACAGGTGGTCTGAGTGAGAGGTGCGTGGTAGTGGCTGGCGCTGGCATGTCCGGTTTGACCTCGTGAAAAACAGATAGACCAGTTGTCTGCTGTGCGCCAGTGATTGATGACTCAATGAAGTGGAGTTCACAATGGCATGGTGATGAAAACAGGACTAGAATGGTGGTAGTGCTTGGAGCATCTGTGATCATGGTCTTGCTTGCTGCTTTGGTGGATGCTAAGGGTGCAGTCAAATGTAGTGCCCAGTCTGGTGGAAGGTCCTTGGACACTTGATGTTTTGTGTGATCTAGTAAACGGACACTTGATACCTGTGATCTAGTAAACGATTATTTAAACACCTTTCGGTTTGATTCATATAGTACTTTCTGCTAGACTGGAAAGGGTGCTGTCTATCTCACTTTATAAGATAGACAGCTCCCTTCCCAGATTTAGCCAACTCCTTTCAGTGGTTAACTTCACTGAGGTGAAATGGGAGCTCATAGAGACATAATTTTGTGCCTCGAGGAGTAAAAATGAAAACGGTTTTGTACCTGTGCCACCTGTGATTACCGTTCTTGAAAGCTGTCATATATCCACTGTCTGAAGAGTGTGGCTGTTTTTCACAGGGCCCGGTGATCGTGGCCTCATCCCAGGGCGGTGTCAACATTGAGGAAGTGGCCAAGGAAAACCCTGAGGCCATACTCAAGCTGCCTATCGACATCACCAAGGGTGTGGACAAGGAGCGCACTGCCGAACTCGTCCGAGGCCTCGGCTTCCACCCGGCTGCAGTCGAGGGGGCAATTATCTTTCTTGGGATAAATTCTTCTAGAACTACTTTCTCACGAGCTACAGGAAATGAATTTAGGGTGACATGTTCTTAATTCTGTGCGAGCTTCTCGCTGTTTACAACACCGAGGTCATCAGATGTGGTCAACAGACAGGTTTCTCCAAATTGCTGCAAAAGGTTTTGCAACGCTCATTCCTTAGGCCCCCATTTTTCCTGATATGATCTTTCTTGCGATGCAAATTTAATATTTTTTCAGTTGGAAGGCGATAGTGTTTTGTTTTTCAGAGAGATAACCAATATACTAATGATATTTATTCACTTCAGTCTGATCGTGCTGCTATCCCAAAATGGTGTAATGAATGGTTAATGCAACTAAATATTAAGAAATGTGAAGTCATGCATGTTTCGGGAACATTTTCCTGCCCATCACCATGTATTACATTGATAACATTAATTTAGATTTAGTAATAAATACTTGTTTTCATATCACTGCTAGCCTAAACTGGTCTGTTGCCCCGCCGCGGTGGTCTAGTGGCTAAGGTACTCGGCTGCTGACCCGCAGGTCATGGAATTCTGGCTGCGGCAGCTGCATTTTCGATGGAGGCGAAAATGCTGTAGGCCCGTGTACATAGATTTGGGTGCACGTTGGAGAACCCCAGGTGGCCAAAATTTCTGGAGCCCTCCACTACAGCATTTCTCATAATCATACGGTGATTTTGGGACATTAAACCCCACATATCAACCAATCAATCAATTAAACTGGTCTGTTCACATCCAGCACTTCATTAACAAAGCTTATCACATCGAAAATGTTATCGCATCCTTTTCTTTTTCTTTCTTTTCTTTTTTTGAAACTCCTGCTGTATGAAACATATGGTGACCCCGCTACTAACTGCAGCGGACGATCACCGCGGGTTCACGCTTAGCGAGCCACAGGGCCGCTACTCCGTTTACTTGCGTGTAGCGCACCGCTCCGCGCGCGCTCAACTAATAAGGCGTTTAGCGCGGCGCGGCAAACAGACAGTGTTCTAATGCAAAACACAACACTTTATTGCCACTGGCGGCACCCCGAACAACAGTACAATGTCCGCTCCTGGGACGCGGGTAGCAAAGGCACCCGCACGCGGACGTTCACAATAAGGGGAAAACCGCGAGCACGTCGCAGCTGGCAATGGCGAGCTTTGACACGCCGGTCGGGAAAAGGTCCCTCGCGGCTATGCTGCGCACTCTCACGATGGCCACTGGGCCTGGTCGCGAGTGTTAGGGCAAACCTCGTACGCGTAGGCCTACGGCAAGTGCGGCTCGTTGTGGTACGACCACTTCAAGCACTAGGCACCGCTGTGGGCTTAGCGTACGCTACCGAAGCTAGCACTCAAGTAAACACTCCTGCCGAAGTGCCCAAGGCCACCCCAGGCAGGCTACAGTCCGGCGATTCCCCAAGGGGACGCGGACGAAGGAAAACACGTGCTTACCCGGCGCCGACCAACGGAGAAGAGACCGCTCCCTCAGCGCGCGCCGTGCCTGCGCGTGGCGCCATCTATCGCCACGTGGTGTTAACAGAGCAGGAAAGCAAAAGGGTGTGGCCGTGTGGCGGAATGCCCGCGAAATGGTCGCGGGCGCGCCTCAGATCCCCACATCCTCCTCTCCTTAATTCACCCTATATACCGGTCTGCAAAGGCAGCCGGTCGTCGCCCATGCATGCAAAGGCGTCATGCAATGGGCAACAGCTAGCCTCAGCCTCGCTCTGCAACTGCTGCTGAAGAAAAAAAATAAACAACACAATAATACACTTGACAAATACAAGGGCTCCGCGGAAGAGGGGTAACGGGAGTTCGTGATGCTCACGCAAGAGCGCGTCCGCGGCTCGGAGGGGCAGCGTCACGTAATGTCTGACTTGGGTGATTGCGTGGATGCGAGAGTTCAAGAGGAGGGTTCTGGTTGAGGCCTTCATGCGAGAAACGGGCTCACCTTCGTCTCGTCGATGTTGACGACAGCCCTGCGAGTCCGACGAACGCCGCCTTGGTGGAGGTTCGGATGGACCTCGCTGCGACAGCCGGCCCTTCTGCTGGAATAATGGTCGCCAAATTCATTGGCTGCGAGGCGTCCTGCGGCGTTGGTCGAGTCGTGCACAGCGTTTGCGACAGCTGGCCTCGTGCAGGTCTCCGAACACCTCCAGAGTCCAAAGTGGTGTAGGGGTCGGTGACTTCCTAAGTTGTCGCCACACGCACACACACACGCACACACACCTCCGATGGTCGGGTCTCTCCAAACGCGCACCGCAAGGGAACCGCAGAGTGTCATTTGTCCCTCTCCCCACGCTAAAGCACCAATTCACAATCCCCTCCTCCAGCGAGAAGGACAAAAAATGAAAACACGAAAAAAAAAACATCAAGTAAACAACAACACTCAAATGACAATCAGCAGCAGTAACTGGGCGGAACAGACTTCTTTGCAAGCACTGGCTGTAAAGAAGTTAGCTAACTGAGATTAGAAAATAAAAATGAGGGCCTTCGGTTGCGGAAATAAGCCCGCCGTCTGGCGCTAAATCACTAGGGTGACCGCTTCCTCAGATTATACCGGTGCGTGGTCCGAATGCGGTCCGCCGCGCCGGGTGTGCGCCGTTGCTTGCGCGAAGAGCCACTGGGCGCTGGCGCAGGCTCGTCAGACCTCGACGCAAAGGCTTTCAGGTCTGCGATATGGGCACGGCTGAGTTTTCCCGAAAGCGGGTCTTTCAGCAAGTACGCGAGTGGAGTCCAAGCTTTTTCCACTCGGTACGGACCAAGCCACTTTGGAGCGAGCGAAGTTGAGAAACTCTTGCTCGCGTCGCTAAGAGCGTGGTTGCGCTTCAGGGGAAAACCGCGAGCACGTCGCAGCTGGCAATGGCGGGCTTTGACACGCCGGTCGGGAAAAGGTCCCTCGCGGCTATGCTGCGCACTCTCACGATGGCCACTGGGCCTGGTCGCGAGTGTTAGGGCAAACCTCGTACGCGTAGGCCTACGGCAAGTGCGGCTCGTTGTGGTACGGCCACTTCAAGCACTAGGCACCGCTGTGGGCTTAGCGTACGTTACCGAAGCTAGCACTCAAGTAAACACGCCTGCCGAGGTGCCCAAGGCCACCCCAGGCAGGCTACAGTCCGGCGATTCCCAAAGGGGACGCGGACGAAGGAAAACACGTGCTTACCCGGCGCCGACCAACGGAGAAGAGACCGCTCCCTCGGCGCGCGCAGTGGCGCGCGCTGTGCCCGCGCATGGCGCCATCTATCGCCACGTGGTGTTAACGAAGCAGGAAAGCAAAAGGGTGTGGCCGTGTGGCGGAATGCCCGCGAAATGGGCGCGGGCGCGCCTCAGATCCCCACAAACACTAATCCGACTCACATTGGAGTATGCTACTGCGGTGCGGGTCTCTTCCCATGTAAAGTCAATTGCTGCTCTAGAAATGGTCCAGTACAACTCTGCACATTTTATTCTCGGCCAGTATGACCTCTACAAAAGACCTTTGCTTCCCATTGTTATCACTGCACAGAAAAGTGTCATGCCTTGCCTTGATCTATAAAATGTATCCTCATCCTGCACTGTGCGATTATCGCATCTCTTAATAACTATTTTATGTATCCCATCACACTGACCATTGTCACAAAGTCTGATTCGCTTTATGCCATAATACGATTTTAAAGAAGTTTATTGGGCGAATCTAATGGGCAGGTGGAAGATTCGAGATAGCGACAGGACGTGGAAGATGGTGGAGCTCGAGTGCCGATCTCATGGTGCCTTACTCTGCGATGATGCTTGGGGTTCCCTGGTGTTGTCATCATTCCTTCATAATAGTCCCCGTCGAGAAAGATGAAGCCATCATGGCGATCTAACAGGTGGGAACTAGCGGGTCGAAGTACGGCTTCAAGCGGTCCACGTGAACAATATCGTGTCCACACCGACAAAGGTCACCGAGCGGCGAAAGCGGTTTAATGACATAATTGACGGGCGATGTGCGCTCTACCACGCGGTATGGACCTTGCTCATTTAAAAGTAGCTTAACAGACAAACCAGGTGCAAATGGCGGTACATATAGCCATACAAGGGTTCCAGGGGCGAACTTTGCGGCAGGAGGGTGGTCGTCATTGCAGGCCTTTTTCTGACGTTGCTAGTTCGCGGCATTCTTCGGTGTGACGTGCAGCTTTGGACACGGTCGTGCACTCAGATGCATCTGGTGGGTATGGCAGCAAAGTGTCAATTGTTGCGATGATTGGCTTCCGTAAGGAAGATTGGGGAAAAGCAGGTGGTGACTTGGGTAGTGGTGTTGTACGCGTAGGTCGCAAACGGAAGAAGCAGGTCTCAGTTCGTTTGGTCAGATGCCACATGCGTCGCGAGTATGTCATTCAGGGTTCGATTAAACAGCTCAGTCAGGCCATTCGTCTGAGGGTGGTAAGCAGTACTCATTCGGTGTACAATATGGCACTGGCAGAGCAGTGTTTGAATTACGTCGGATAGAAATACACGGCCCCGGTCACTGAGGAGCTAGCGAGTAGGGCCATGATGCAATACGAAACGATGAAGGATGAAAGCTGCGACGTCCTGTGTGGTCGCTGTAGGAAGAGCAGCGGTTTCGGCGTACCGTGTGAGGTGATCTACAGCAACGATAGCCCGCGGGTTACCTGCTGTCATCAATGGCAGTAGTCTATAAAGGTCAATTTCAACGTGACCAAATGGGTGGTCGGGGCACGCAAGCGGCTGTAGTGGAGATGCTCTTGGATTTGGTGGCTGTTTCCGTCGCTGACACATGTGGCAGCCGTGAATGAACTGTCGAACAAACGTAAACATCCCACGCCAGTAGTACCGCTTCCTTCAACATTCATAGGTCTTGAAGACATTGGCGTAAGCGCATTGCGGGTCGGAGTAAAATGATGCACAGATTGTAGAGCGCAGCTTTCGGAGAATAACGAGCAGCCACTTCCTGCCGTCTGTTGATTAACTGCGCCGGTACAAGAGGCCACCTTGAATGGTGAAGTGCGAAGCT